CCCCCCCCCAGGGTCTCCGGAAGTTTAACGTGACTCTATTTGTCTTTGACCAGGTAAGCATAAACAAACTTTCCAACAAATAAACCTCTTGCCAAGCTGCTCCCGGATGTTTTGCTTGCCTGCAAGCTTGCATGATGTACCTCCAAAGGGCTTAGCTGTGGTAATTACATCTCTGTTGCTGTTCGGGGCTTGTAAGGATAATTTTTTTATAGTTCATAGTTAAAATGTTCCAAATTCCTAAAATTTCCCTTGTTTTGGATGGATATTGTTTTTTTGTGATGTAGAACTTTATTTATTACCGTAGGGATGAACAACGAATAGCGGAGCATCAAATACTTAATTATAAAGAGGTGAAACGCACAGGTGGTTTTATATGTGGAACTGAGTGCCTAAACTTCACAGGAGACTCTTCAAAACCGCTAAGGTCTGAAAAGTTCAGTGCTTACAGCTAGAATTTCAAGGAGCCTATTGTAGATGCGTTATTTCCTGTCGCAGATAACACATGAGGCTCCTGCATGCTCCGTCTCCCATTGCCACTCCTTCCCGACGTGGTCGGGCATGAGACAGCTGTGCTTTGCACAGACACGTTTTGACTTTGCGGGCATAAAAGGAAGAATTGGCGATAGACAGGTTCTGAGAGTAGTTTGTGACTCGCGCCCGTCCGCTGCAGAAGTCTGTCGGCCTCTTGTACCTCCGCTGCTGCTCTAGGTCAAAGTTGGCTGCGGTGATGGGAAGGCTTCCGCTAGTGACCTCAGTGTGTGTCTCCTGGTCTTCCTAGGATGAATTGGGACTGTTGAGGAATCTCTTTGCTCCACTTCCATTACTATTAGCAGAAGCAGAAAATGATTAGGGTCTGTGGAACTTTTGTTGTTTAAAATCAACAGGTTCAGTCATGATAGGGCTTGTATAACAAAGAAAGTGGTATGAGAGCATCTTGAAACGCTGCTGTCCTGACCCTGGTCGTGGTTATATTTGAACAGTAGGTCAGATTGTTTTTAAAATGATTGCAAAATTCTGGGGAGAACTAAGTAAACTGTGCAAGTGACAGAGTAACAAAGAAAATGCCACTTTTAATCATGGCACAAGCAGTAGTGATGATCTAGAAAATACAGGAATGAATGTTTTGACAGGAGGAGGAGTGATCCTTATTGCTGGAGAGCAAGAATAGCCAATGACAAATGAGAACAAAACCAGAAATAAAAATTCTGGGCTTTCAGAACATGGGATAAGGTTTTGGTTCACCAGTACAGTTGCCAGCAAAGAAAGTTACAAACCTTTTACAGCAGGGACGCTTTTTGCTGTCTTGAGTTTTTTTTCCATTCTGAATGTTTCTTCCCTGGTGGCAGTTTTTCTGTCTCTGGCTTGTCCATTTGTTTTGTATACTCTTCTTTTTTTTTTTTTCCTTTTTCCTTCCTGTGGACTTTTTCTCTTCTCTTAGCCAACCTTCACCCAAAGACTAAGAAGATGAACTGTTAATTGACCTTGACATTACTCCCTGCTTCTAAAATGACTTTTTCCATCTTTTTACCTTATCCTATGTAAATAAAATTTTTTTGAGCAGATACAGTATTCCTCAATTGTACAGGATACATAGACCCTTTCTTAGTTGTTCTCAATGGTCTGTGGTACTTCAGATAATTAATTATTTCTATTCTGTTCATATATTTTCCACATTCCAAAAATGAGGATGTTGTCAGTTAAAACTACTGCATCTCTTTCCAGGAGTCTCAGGTATGATTAAGTCCGTCATTGTGGCATGAGGGTGGTGGTTATGACAAAAATATTGACTTTACTGACTTTGATTAATACTGTTTTTTATTTAAAGATGATGAAAAAGATGATGAACCAGCTTCTGCTAAGAAACGTAAACTAGACTCTGGGGAGCAGACAAAGAGGAAGAAGTTATAAGCGGGGCATGCTGCATTTGGCCAAAATGAGAATTTCGGTGAACTTGGATTCTGCTGCTGGAATGAGAAACAAATACATGTTTACCAAATTTCTCTCTCCTATCGGGTAGGGAGTTTTATTTCTGTAGTATGCTTGCTTTCTGGAAAGCACAAAATTAAATGGGCAGTGTTGTGATAGAAACTGGTCTACTGAAAAAAAACTTAAACCTGTTTACTTAAAAAAGGTCTCTTAAAACATTGCGACGGATACTTGTGCTCATGCAGGTTATAGGGCTTTGTGGTACTTTCTTTATCAACAAACCTGGTAACTTGTGGTATGAGCTTTTCTTGACTGACTTTTCCATTGTGTCAAACCTTTTATAAAGGAGCATATATTAAAGTTTCTTTAAGTATTGTACTGTGATATGTTTGAATAATGCTGTTTTGAAATTTATGTAAAGACTGTAAATACGTCACTGGAATAAAATTACTTTTGAAAACGTTTGCAGTATAACTACTGCATTGCATGCGTAATGAATAGGAGGGATGAATTATTTATGTATTTCAGTGATGTGTTTCTAATGACTCAACAGATTCTTCAGGGGTTTGTTTGCAATAAATCTACAACTACAAACTTTAAAAATGGACTTACAAATGGAGTTTAATATCTGATAATTAGTTTTGATGTTATGTGGTCTGCATCGGTGAAGCATGAGACTAAATAGTAATAGAAGAATTGGAGCATTCAGGGTATTCTTCCTAAAACTGAAAATAGCAGCAAAATATTTACTTGAAAAGAAATTATGACAAAGCTGTGACAGTCTTTACTACCAAATCGTTTGTACTTCAGTAAAAATGTACTTAAGTACTTTGTCTTTTCTTGCAGTGTTATAGCCAGTATATGTTGCATTTATGATATGCTGCTGGGCTTTTGGGTCTATATTTGAAAAAATACCAGCAAAATGGGGGGGAGGGTATTTTGAGATAAAAGCTTTTGTCCCTTCAGAAACCTACAGTGACAACTAGTCAACACTCATATTTTTTATTCTCTTCTTATCCTGGAGTAGCTTTCAGTTGGCAGAACAGATGCTTATCATAGAGCATTCTGTATGGATATATTCTAATGTAATGTTAGTGTTTAAAAAAAATGTGATTTCAAACCTCAATATAGAAAAATATATTCCTTTTTAGTGAGTACGTGAAGACAGCAACAAGTTAGGCAGTTGTAGCCTTGGCAGTGTGATAATGCTTTCTCTTGTTCCTTCTGTACCTGCAGACTCTACAGTCACTCCTTGCTGATTTCCCAGCTGATGGGCTACTTCCATGATATATTCCCCATCTTCCTGCTCTGCCAGTTTGGAAAGGATTCAAACAACGGTAGTTGTACACAGCTCCGGGTGCCCCATGCACAAGATTTCTTTCTTTTAGCACAAACCCAAATATCTAACCCCCTCATCATAGCGAGCCCCAAGACTAGAGAGGGTGTCATAGGCAAAGCTTATGAAGTTAGATGCCACATCTGTTCACGGTCTCTTGAAATGTTCCTTCCTTCAGGAAGTGCCAGGACCAGAATAAGCTGCCCTCTAGGTTGCAGAGGGAAACCTCTCAATCCCTTAGTAATGATCCTGCTTAGTTCCAGGTGGAATCAAGATCTCTTCATGGCAGTCGTATTTATCCATTAATGAAGCAGAGCTTTCCTAGGTGGAAAGCGAGGTGATAGATGACAATTTAGGGGAACTGTGGAGGGCTGCATTTTGTTCAGTTGAGAAGCTATAAATGCCTATGCTTCAATTTCGCTAGACTTGTCAGTAAAATTCTCCCTGGTTCTAGTAGTTGTGTATGATAGCATTGAGTAATGATGAGTAATTGTGTTCTCTTAAAGGAATAACTACCTCGGCGCGTATAATGCAGCCTAACAGCATCCTCTTCAGGAAGTGGGTTGTTGTCAGCTACTGTTGTAGCTGCTATCTAGGTTCTTTTGGTCTGAGATCAAATGGTTCCTCTAAGCTTTGCCTACAAGAAAAGGAAGGGTGTTTTTTCCCAGAGTGTTGAACATGAAGTCTCTGAATGAGAAGGCTCACTCCAGTCAATTTTTTCTATATCTGTAGTCCTGATATAGCACCCTCACCCTAGCAAATCTTCAGAGAATGTGGTAGAAGACAAATGGGAGTGCATTTATGCTGTAGCTAATGGAGAGCTGGAGGTAGGAAGCAATAGCAAGCTCCTCTTCCATTATGAAAATCAGATGCTAGGTCAGTTTCTCAGGTATTCTGTTTTTGTCCAGTCTGCAAATTGCAGATCACCTTACGTCTAGCAAGATACTTTTGAGAAATCTATCTCTACTGCTGAGCATGTACAGAGCTTACTCCAGGTTTACGTGGGATGAATGGTAAGGATTCTTGAAACTTGAAGGGTTCAACGTGGAATGCAGGGTTCAATGGCCTGGCTAATTCTCAAGTCTCATAATAGTATGCCAGTTTGCTACTAAAGTGCTACTTGAAGAGCTTTACAGTTGAACGTTAATGTCAGCGGCTCTGGAAATAGGATGCATTCCCACGATTGCCATGACCAAGGAGGCTTTTGTCCTGTTATTGTTTGCTGTGCGATTTTACGTGGCAGCTCTGGAAGTAACCATGCTAATGACTCCTTTTGTTTTCAGATAATACGATATATGTGGTGTCCAGTCATCTTGAAGCTAACACCATCTGATACTTGGTTTTCAAGGAGAAAAGTAGCATGTCTAATCTGAGAGAAGAATGATTAATTGTATTATTTACAGGTTGAGAGAAACTGCATTGTAAGCAGTGACCATGACAGCTTTCCTATTCAGGATAAGTGGTGAAAGCAGTTATGCTTCTTTTTTTTTTTTTTTAAATAAGACGTCTGAAACAACTGCAGGCTGTGTGAAAGCCTGTCTGAAGCTGAGTTGCTTTGGTGGGTGGGTTTTGTTGCTGGATGACTTCTAAAGCATCAGTGACTTCTAATGCAAACAACTACAGAACTGCCACTAGTGGGTAAGTGGTAGGGTCTTAAAGGGAAATTCTAATGTAAGAAAAGAATGAGAGGCGTTTGGAGGTAAAATCTGTGGGGCTAGAGCAGAGACAGCTTTTTTCATGTGATATGTAGTTGCTAGGATTGCACTAGGCCTTGTAGTCTGAGAGGTCCTAGTGCTCTTTGGCACTGCACAGTTGTGGTGCAGCCTCTTCTCTGCCAGGAGACACGTGCTGGATCCTGCTGCTGAATTTGTAACTGCTCCTTGGTTTGTCACATCTTGCCTCAGCGCTCCAGCACTGAGCTTGATAAGTAAATAACCAGCAGCTGGATTGTCGTGGATATGAAGCTTTTCCCAAAATAAGTGAGACAGGAAAGCTTGACCAGCTTTGGTTTCTAATGGAGAGCAATTGCAGCTGAGCTATCTGCTTAAGAAGAAAGTCTTAAGGAGAGTAGTGGTTACAGAGTGGTATGGAAGTCTTCTGCCTACAGATGTGACTGTGTGAGAGGGCAACTTAGGATATTTGCAGTATTCCTTGTTTGCATTTCATGGTGGCCTACTGTTGAGAGAAAATGGCTGGAAAGACGGATAAAACGTTTCTAGAAATGAGAAAGTACAGTACTTACTAAGCAGTATTTACCTCAGGGCGGTGGGGAGGCAGGTATCTCTATCTGGTACTAAGAGGCTGTTTGAAAGCAGCTGGATTGAGCTAGGTAGAAAATAGCTAAGAGCTAGGAGAAGAAGAAAAGGAGGAAAAAGCCTACTGAATTTGCTGGGGATCTCTGGGATCTTATTCAGATATAATAAAAAGCTTCTAAGATAAATTGACAATAAATTAAATTATAAGTCGTCACCTGGAGTTGAGCTTCTAGGTCAAAATCAGTGATAAATTTTCCGTGGTATTCATAGCAGTGATGCAGTAAAATTACCGGGTGTGGTTCAAGTTCCTCAGTAATTCACTGTAGAAGGAAGCAGCCGCTATCAGGAAAGATGTGTTCCCAATAAGCCTTGCAATTATAGGAGTGCATCTAATATGCAAAACGGAAAAGGGGATTCTAATCTTTGTGCCCTTTTTGAATGATTAGAAGTGAGGCTGATTTACAAAACAAGAAGAATTGATGGTGGTGGAGTACTTAAAGGAAGCAGATCTTTTAAAGGTGAAGAAATGAGCAATAAGGAGAAGATTAGCTCATTTGTTTCAGAAGTAGCAGAGCGAAAGACATGAAGCTGAAGGACAAATCTTGACGGAACAAAAAACCTTGCAGGTTTTCTTTAGGTTTTGGCAGCTCATAATGAGACTTTGGCTACTCTGTGCAAAAGGATCTGTGAAATGCATGAGTGAACTTAAAACTTAAACTGATAGCTCGTATGTTCGAAAACAAGTCTAACTAGAGAAGAGTTTATCCTGAATTGACTCTCAAGAGGAGACAGTGACAGGAACATACACCCCCATCCACAAATGGAGAAGACTGACTTACGAAATCAGATCTCTTGTTAACTCATGTTGCACTCTTTTTATGATGAATCAGATGTAATGATGTTTATTGTTCAACAGAAAACAAATAGCAGGAATAGCGTCCTACAAGTTTGATCTGAGAAAATTCTCTAAAAAAAAAAATTTGCCAAGGGTAGGAAAACAGGGCCTGGGAGGCAGTCAGTTTGCAATGAACGCATTGTGTTGCCTCCAGCTGCTGCCTTATTAGCAGCTACCTAAAGTAGATTTCCAGGAAAGGCAGGATGGTATACGAAAACAAATCTCATCAGAGTAAAACTACAGCTGTATAGGATAATGGCTTTCATGGCAGGCAAAACTTTGTCTGAAAAATGCTAATTGAGAGATTGTTGCAAGGCATCCCTCTGTTAGCCTGCTTGTTATTCCTTTGCGATAGCTTGATGCACACTAACACCATTGAAGAACTGATTCATTTACAGATGGTTTGTGATAAGCTTAAGGCTGCCGATCTGAAACTGAATCCAGGGAAATGCAGCATGTTGCACAAAGAGTAATTTATCTTGAACCTATAATCAGTGAGGGAGGAGGAATTTTTATCATCAGAGAGAAACAGAAGCTGTGTAGAGTTGGCTGACCCCTTAAGTTCTCTGATGACAGGAAGCTCATTTGCTAGTTTGCTAATGTTGCAAGATCATGGCAGAATTTGAATGGAAAGAGGTAATGCTTTCAGTCACCAGCAGGATACAATTTGAGATTTTTTTCATGCTTGAAAGGATCTTGTGACTGTTTCTGTCTGAGCTTGCTGATTTTTCCAAAACCCTGTGAATACTAGACACAGATGTTTGTGCTTTTGATTTCTGTGTAAGTTTGAGAAAAATGTAGGACTATCTTAAAAGGGTGCTAGCTGATTACAGCTAAAGTATGAGTTCTTCAGAGATAAAGATCCTTGGCAGTGGCTAAAGGTGTGCAGCGTTTTCATTTTGAGAGAAGATACTCAAGCACACCTACGTTTACTCTCAAGACCGAACAATTCTGAAGGATAGCTTTTTACTGGAAAAATCACAGCACCATGATTTCTTAGACCCACAAAGGCCTGGCCATAAGTATGGTATTACTACATGCCTTATGTAGGTGAGCCTGTTGAGAGGCTAATTGCTCTAACTACAGGTGGAAATGACTGCCCAAGCACGCTCAGGAAGAGATGTCTGTCTCCTCTCTTTATAATTCACAAGAGGGCGGATGTTACAAACTAAAAAACTTCGCGAAGAGAAGACTAGAATGGGATGCCTTTGGAAAACCCTTTAGCAAATGTAGTCTCTGTATTAAAGAATGTGATGTTCCATTACTGCCAAAGGTTTCTAGTTGCATTGGCTAAGGTAAAGCTTAAAGATGATACAACAAGAGGTAGAGCTTGGCTACTAGTTCTGGGAGTTGGTCAAAATTTCAAGACTGAAACAAAAGCAGAATTTCTGTAGAGCACAAGGCTGGCAAAATCCGGAAAACCTGCTGAAAGAAGTACTGTGTTTTCATTGCAAAGAAGGCCTCCAATGAGACCGAACAGTCATAGGAATCTCAGTGAATGATTCTGTTCTTGAAACAAGCTTTTTTGGTAGCAGTGGACTGTTTTATAAAAGCTTCAAAGTCATACAGTTAAGAACCAAAAAACAATGGGAATAACAGAGGAACAGAAATTCTAGTAAGCCAGCTCTTCAGGTTTGGAGGTTCTGGGGTATTGCGGATCGAAGGGAGTAACCTTGGATCCATAGGAGTCTGCAGAGTTTGTTAATGACAGAAATGTGGAAAGACTGATTGAACTTGGAAGACAGAGTAGCACCAAAGAGGCTGGACTGAGTTTATGCTTCTGGTTCCTTTGAACTACTTTCTTCAGGTTACTTCTGAAAAATCAGGAATCTTCTGGGGAATCCAGGACATGTGGAGCTGAATTGGCAGAAGAATGCAGTGAATTCAGAGAATGGAGATAAGCATTTCTAGTCTTTATCAAATAAGTGTATCAGTGCTCTTCATTTAGAAGAGGAAGCACTCTGCATCTTGAGAGTGCTTTCATCTTGGTAGCTTCAAAGGGAAATCACATCTGTGTTTCACTGTGGCTGTGAGCAGCAGGGCAAGTACTCTGTTTTGCTACCTTCTGACAAGGTGAACCAATTTTTTGGAGCAAACATAGATTGCCCACCTCTTTTGCTTAACTTCTTCAACTGTCTGCTTCTTATTGTAGATGGATTCATACGGAAACAAGTACAGAGTGTAATAAAGGCTAACCCCAGGCCGGCGTAATGGGGAGTTAAAACCAACACAGGACTTACCATGAAAGGATTAACATACTCGGAACAAAGCGAAAGAAACAACACAAAAACTCCACACCAGCAGGCTCCCAGCAGAAGTTAACTGGGCAACCTGTCCGTTGGGAAGCAGAAAATGGCCCAGTTCTGCTAAACTAGTAACTTCTCTGACGCATTATGGTAAGAGGTGCCTTGAGGAACCAGACTTAAGTGATGTGAGGGACTCATTTCACTCCTTTTGTAGGAAGGAATACTGCTACTTAATAAAGACCTAACAGAATTTTTTTATGAAAAACATTTCTCTCTGTTAAGCTTCTGCTCTAGAAAAATTGTCGCTATCTGTTGTAATGAAAATATGTCTAAGGGAAATGCACAAGTCACTTCCCTAGGATGGACAAAGTTGTAATTTGTGAGACTAAGAGCTTTATATATTGCCTGAAATATTCCAAAGAGTTGTTACATCGAACATAATTTAAAAGGTTGGTGATGGCAATGGCTTGCTTAAAAACATCCTGTTTTAATAGATTACTCAGAAGATTGATTTTTATGCAAGGCATAAGGTTTTGCTTACCATTAGCGACCTGTAAGTGACCTGTTCTCACAGGAAGCTTGTATATGCCTCTTGGATAGCTGCAAATAAGCTGTATCTCAGTGACAGATGCAAATCAGTCATATCTCCGTGATCTTTCACATAGTAATGAAGTACTGCTTACATCTTACAAACTTAAGCTTTTCAAAATATCTACGTAAAGCAACACATAGACTTGCATGCTGTATAACTATTTATTATAACATGAATAGATTCCTTGCGTTATTTTCCTGCAGAAGCATAATATACACATTGACCCTTCAAGTTCGTATTATGAAGAAAAGTAGAACCCATGTTCTTTTGAACCATGTTCAGTTTATTCCAGTGATGATGAAATAGGGACACTTAACTGATACGGATTGTATATATCTAAATTCAGGGCTTCTTGAATGGTCGAGAGCCAGCAGCAGGTAGCAGACACGTACTGTCCCCACCTCCTGTGGGGGATCCCACGTTTCCCTGGCGTTTCATAGCCTCTGTGGAAGAGCTGCAGTGCACAGGATCTGCTAAGTCATAAAAGCATCGCGTGGCTGGCAGAAATACACACTGCTTCTTTGGCAAACTTGCTCGACACACCTCTGAACAAATGAAGCAAGTAGCCCCACAATAATTTAGCTCTAAAATTATGCTTTCATTAGCTTTTCCACTATGATACTCCGCTAGAGGGTGCTTTTGTTAACTGCTAGCGAAACGGCTGAGTTAAATAGCAGCGCTGCATTCAACTACAGACCCTGATTTTCTTTGATTCAGCCTAATGTTTTATTGAAGTGTCTCTTGACGCTGCACATCTATTTTGGTTGCTTTCTTGATGCCTCGCTATATATTTTCTTTGTACTACAAAGACTTTTCAAGTTGCTTTTGCATTTTACATTTCAAATAATTTTTTAATGATATCTGGTGAGAGTTACCATAATCTCTCCTCTTTCAAAAATAATTCTTATATTGATGAATCGCAGCGAAGAAATGATTTGGCAAGCACAATTTTTGTCAAGTGTGTTTGTCTGCAATGAAAAAATAAAAACCACTATCAAAATAATAGAGGGTTAAAAATTGTACAAAACTTCTACTTAGGAAAAACTACTTGTTGAGTTTCAAAGTTTCTAACTTAGAGGAGAAGCCCAAGAACAAGGATTTTATCGTGCTGTAATGGTTGGTTTAAATTTATGAACACTGAAAAAACTTGATTTCTGCAAAATAAGCAAGTGCGTAAGAATTTGCTTTGAAAAGTTCAATTAATCTAATTTCCCACTGAACAATGAGCTCCTTCTTTTATTAAGAAAAAAATAGGTGTATTTGTAACCTGAGTTTTAGGCATCGGCTTTATGTCACTTTGTAAAGATACTTTTCTTTTTTTTCACAGAAGCTTACCAAAAAAAGGGCTGGAACCGGCCCTTGCAGCGGTCATCTAGCCCATCTGCCCACCTCGGGCCGGGCCAGCCGCACCTGCACCGTTCCTGGCTGCTGTCTGCCAGTTACCAAACAAAGCTTCACCAGGAGATAACACTGAAATGACACAGCAACCCCTCTCTTCAGTTTTACCAGGTTACTACAGTAATCCGTTGGTAGGAATCAGCAAAAATATGCAATTGAACAAGAGAGTTAATAACATCCTTCTCCATTTTAGGGAAGCCTATAACCCAAGTCTCAAGTGACTCTTAGCAGTTTATAGCTTTGTATTTGTACAGCGCAAGAACTCCTACATTAGCATAGGTGTAAATGATTCAAGATGACATATTCGGAATTATAAGATGTGATTTGTCCTGTTTTTTTCCTAGGTTATTTGTCTCTAGCATAGCCAAGGAAAAACATTTTAGGTCTTTTTTTTTTAATTAACAAATTCTGAGTTAAATGACTGAATTTTACCAAAAGATGTCATTTCTGAGGACAATTTGTCTGGTCAAAACAACCTGGTAATGCAAGTTTGCTTGTAGCAGACTTTGCCGAGAACTGTATTACTGCTGCACTCAGATGACTCTGGATAGGATTTAACGCAGTTAGGCCCTGCAGTTCACTCAGAGGACAAACTAGCCCTTAAAACCAGCCTTTTCTTCCTCAAGACTCTGTAGAAGGAATGAAGATAAACTACGATTATGCAAGAGAGAAGAAATGGAGGTCCTAGCTATGAGGACTAATCCACTGTAAGTGTTTAGGTTTTTTAATTAAAAGACCTCATTTAATTTTTCACAGGTTTCTGGCCACGTATGAAGCTGAAAGTTAATGATCTTGTTCACTGTTGGAAATACCTACTGTGATGTGCTAAAAGGGCAAAGGCTGCTGTGAGCTGAACATCCTCTGTGGTAGGTGGAAACTCTTACTTGAACAGTAACTGCGGCTCAATACATGCCTGTCTTGTCTGCTGGAAAACATTAACACTGGGTGCTACACAGTCGTCTTCATCGATTGCTCTGAACCTCAGTGTTTAATAAGTAGCATGGAAGAGCTTAAATGGAGCAGTCATTTTTACATTCAGAATCTTCTGAAGATCTTGATTTTTGTTTCTCCTCCTCGTTCTGCAAAAGTCCTATCAATTTTAATAGCATTACACAGAAATTAATGTAAAAAGTTATAACAGTTGGCATTCTCAGGAAATTCTGTATGATTTGCCATCAGTGCTGTGTTTATATCCTAGGTTGTGCATATACATTTGAATTTTAAGAATTAGAAATAAACGCTGTTGCGAAACTGGCTCTTCTGGTACTTGCGCTAATCCATTTCAGAATATCAATTCCATCTTGAAAAACTTCATTTTTCTGAATTACTGTTTTTCTAGATTATATTGCATATGGGTTTTATTTGTTAAATAGGTAACTTCTGTTTTTATTGCAGAATAAGCAGGTTAACAGACCCTCCTGGTCGATGCTACAGGGTTGTTGAGAAGCTATATGCGATCGATCCACTTCAATTCCATTTCTGGTATCGTGCTACAGGCCACTTTTTAATCTTGGGCTACATTTACGTTCCATTAGCCATTTGGCACAATAGGAGGGTGTCTGTAAAGCAGAACTATCGGTGCTGTGGACCCCACGTCCACACTAAATGTGTTTGGAGGATTTTATTTGTGCTAGCTCTGCTTTGGTCCCACAGACTCAACACCTGGCAGCAGCTAAAGTGCATTAAGTGCGCTCCTGGAGTGCATCTTCTGTTTCTAGTTTCATCCAAAAGGAATCCAGTGGGAGCGCTCCAAAAACCAAAGCAGTCTACGGGGATGACTGGGAGAGTCACTTCAAAAGCACACTTCTGATCCAAACCCAAATACTTCAGCAGTCACACCCTGCCTGCGTGAGAAGCGTTGCACGCTCAGATCCAGCGTGTCTCCAGGATGCGCCTTCTTGCCGAAAATGAGCCTCCCAGGAAAAAACACAACTGTATGCCAATTGCATTAAAGGCTGGAGCTTTTGGTAGCATGCCAACATTGCCTTCTGAACGTAGCTTTGTTTCTCACTTTAGAAGACTGTTTTTTCCCTATTAATTGATTCACTGGCTCTTATATTAAGTGCAGGGGATGGTGGAGAATGAGAGCTAGGCTAATGTTAAGCACTTACCATTGCTTATCCATTGTTCCCAGACTGGTAACACTTCCACTTAGAGGTGCATCACTCATTCCTGCAAGAATTTATGTGTGAATCTCATGTATATGAATCTCAGCTATCTATGAATCCCACTAAGGCCACTGGAAGTCTATTGCGTGGGAAGCTAAGCTCACGCTTACTGGGCCACAGCACTGAGCATCTGATTCTTGATGGGGCTGAAGCTTCGCTGTGCATTTAACAAGAAATAATGCAAATGGTTTGTGTTTTTTAATCCTAGAAAGAATGGCTCCCTTTCCCCCCCCCAGGCTAGCAAGTTTACAAAAATATTTTTTTCTTTTCAATATATTTGTCTGAAAAGATAAATTACTGCCCGAGGACATGCTCACCATTTGGGGCATGGTGGAGAGAGAGAGAGATTGATCATTTCCAGCTGCTCTTTGCTGACAGGCAAAGAAGAATTCTGCTTCTGATTAACATTTGTGAATGTATTTCAAAAATACCTATTTCGAATGCAGACCTGAAAGGGAAAACGCAGGCCAGTATGACAGGCATCTTTAAAATGCCTGCGATACATAGATTTGCATTGTCATAGCTGCATTAATAGGATAAGGCTCGCCCCTGCTGACTGGGCTAAAAGGCTTTGGAGCTTCCCTCCTTGTATCCTCTATTTCCAAGCAGAAGAGGTGGATGTGTTTTTCATACAGAAGCATGGAAGCCACATTCAGTGTGCTTGACATTGGAAAATGACTCAGTGGTGCTTGCTTTGAAGTGGAATGGGACAGATAAAAATACATCATTCACCTTTTATTTGATACTTTGTGTAAGTTTCCTGATGGGTTTCCTGAATACTGCATGCTAACTGCTGGCGAGACTTGGCACGGCGAATGATTTGTGCGCCTTCTGGGGCGCACCCCGGGTTACGGAGCAGGGAGAGCGGATGTCTTGCATGTTAACTGAGATGAGAGACAGTTGGAGAGTGATTGTGTGTTGGCTCCCTCTTCTTCATGTGCTGCGTTTCATTTTCCAGCGGGACACGAGCAAGACTTAAGTAACCAGAATCCTTGCTGCTTTTGCTGGTGCACAGAAAATAGATATTTACTTTGATACTGGCTCTCTTGCCTGGTAGTACTCTCTAATGACTACACCGTGAGGGCTTCTTAACGGTGAAAACTGGGAATCAGCGAGTCCAGTGAGGGATCCTGACACCTGGAAACAATGGATCCTTCTGCAATCTGTGCTTCTCTCTAAGGTAAGGGCAGTTGTGACTCTGAGCTCTGGAAGTGATGAGGCTCGTGTCCCTCAGCAGCAATGGAAATGTCTCCTTAGAAGCAGTCTTTTGCTACTTCCACCCATAGCAGCTGTTGTCCTTTTGAAATGACACGTGGAACCAGAAAAGCAACTGCAGACTAGAGTGCTTTCGAGAGTCATAAACCAGTTTTTTATTCAGTGGGCAGAGTATGGAGGGTGGCAGCCGGTGCAATCACACACACTGCATATTTGTGCAAATTGAATTCTGGAGACCCAGGGTTCAATCAAAATGATCAGCTGTTGTAAACCTGTCTCCCTTCAGAGGTTGCTGAGATGCAAGTCTTTAATCCAGATGGAAGAGGAAGTTAAAGTAACAGCAGAATTCTTTGAAAGCTGCTTGTGAGTCAGGCAAGCCGGAGAGACCTCTGATGTACAGGGAAGGGGAACATTTCAATTTTCCTAGGTTCAGATTCACCTATCTGCCTTGTTAATGTAAGAGGAAAAAGAATAAGTGATTTTTTTTATGTCCATCAAGGACTCTTGAAGCGCATGCTGCTGTTCTTGCATGTATTTTTAGCGTCACAGGTTCAGTAGGTGCAAGTAAGCACTCAGCGCTAAGCCTATGGAAAGAGTCCTGAACGCTTGCATTTTAACTGTTCTTCTGTGGCAGCACAGAGTACCCTGATGTAGAGGCTGGAAAACCCTGCATAGTGCTGGGGGAAAAGGGAGACTTAAGGATAGCAGCACAACAACCTGCACCTATTCTACTTAAAAGCAATATAGTGAGCAATACAGTATATTTGCAATATAGCAAACAGTGAGAGTCGGTTTTGCTACTGTGTGATAGCAAAACTCTGGACTCTGGGAGCATTGCTGACAAAACTTGTCCGAGGCCTAATAAACAGGTGTTGGAGGGTCGCAGTTGTGCACTCAAGCTCTAGGTCTGGTAAAGTCCCACTTCAGGCACATAAATCTTTATGGAGCTCTGTCATGGTACTTACCCCCAAACCCTGCAGGAAACTCGTCTGTGACGAAGTAAGTGAGGATAATGACGTAAAGAGGGAGAAGAGAGGAGATAAAACTGCAGGTGCAGGGCACCGTTCTCTGCTATTATTTAGGTAAAGCAGGCAGATACCTGAGGGTCTTCATTAAGCACATTAGCTGTTTAGAAAGGGAAAAATGTTGGTTTAGAGTGTTAACTCATTTGTTGTGGTGTTTCAGAAGCAGGCAAAGTAGTGGGAGGAGATGACTCAGAGTCAAATTTTGAGTGTTTTCTATGAGAGGAGGACGGTGGTAGGAGGAAAGGGGAAAGAAAAGGAACATTACAGTTTGTGTCATTAAAGAACAAAAATGTGCAGAGCAAAACAGGGCTTTGAATCTTAAGACAAAGTGCTAAGGAGCTCTAGATGTTAAAGCTCTGTGACTTGACAACGTAGTTTATAAAATAGCAGCTTTATCACATTGGTAACATTACTTAAATAAATTGACAATTTTATGGATGTTTTATAGAGCAATCTAGGAGAGATTCTTTGGTATTTTCTTAAGATTTTTTTCCCCTAAATACTTAGCAGGGAACATGTATAAAAATCTGAAGAAATACATCCATTAAGCCAGACTTGTGTATTTAAATATTTATAGCTAAAAAAGAAAGGAAACGGCTCTCCTCCTCCCCTCCTCATCTGCACACTCACTTGTGGGACTCTCAGACTGCTGGTGGGAGTCACAAAAAACACTCCACGCGCTTCAGGATCAGGTGAGCTATTCTGACATTTTAGTGATTCGCATCTGTTTTAACTTTTTACTGATCATGATGGGTGAGTAGTGTCTCCGTTAAGGGCCTTTAACTGTTTAACTCAGGTAGTTAGAACGCAAGTACAGAACAGGAAGAGTGGGTTACAGCTGCCTGAGACCCTCCGTGTGTGTGTGTGTGTGTGTGTGTGTGTGTGTGTGTGTGTCCGTTGTCCAAGATTTTCTTTCCAAAAGCCTACAGGCTTTGACTTGCTACTAGGTGCCCAGACCGGGTCCTGTCTGTCACATAAGTACATAACAAATCAGATCAGAAAGGCTGCACAGTTGTAATGGGGTCTTATCGCATCATTTAGCCTGTGATACCTGATAAACCATATGCATAGTTAGAAAGTGCTATTTGGAGATGCGTGTTCCAAAGGGATGCTAAAATTGGCAGCTTTACGCTTTGACTTGATTTTTTTCTTCGTTGTTGTTCACAAAGCTAGAAGCAACTACATGGTTAAAATCTGTTTTGTTGCGTTTGGTTGACTGATTTTTGTTTTGAGAAGGAGGAGGTAATTTTAGTTCTTCAGAACGAACAGTTAGATCAAAATCCTGGCAACTGTTCAAGATAAATGACAGAAAACCCTATATTTTAAGGTTTCTCATCTTGGAAACAGTTTCAAAAAGCAAGTTAGAGTAATTTTAGTGTCAGCCTTCCCTCTGCCCTTGTCCATCCCATGCCAATTCTGTTTTTACACTTAGTATATCCTGTTTAGCTGTGTTTCACTTCTATATAAACAACAGGGGAAATTGCCAGACAAAACTAGGAGGACACTGAAAACGACCTTGCACACGGTGTTTCAGAGCATGAAACCAATGTTTGGAAAAGCGCAAAGTTAAACCCATTCAAAAGTAGATTGAAAAATCAATTATTTTAGATCTTAGAGATAATTGTAAAAAGAACAAAAAATTAAAAAAGGTTTAATTTTAAATACTTAGTTTTTACATACCATCCTGTCTTTTCATTATGGAGAGGAATATGGCATTTAGGAAACAGATTTTAGCAATAAGGACTTCTGGGGGGTTGGGGAGGTTAAACAAGGAGTAATCTAATTTTAAACATGGATATAATCTCATAAATACTCGTGGTGCTTCAGAGTCCCCATCACTGGGATATCCTTCTGAATGGGCTGTGTTAAAGCGTTGTGAGTCTTTGTTGTGGGTGTTATACAGATTATGCTGTGGCATGGCTGGAAGCTCAAGTAATTAGGGAAGAGATTAGGATAAAGTAGTGCTTCTATCCACTAAAGAATGTAAATATTTTGAATTTTTTCAACAGCTCACACATCTCAATAAGAGATCTCATCTGAAGAGTACCCTTACTGTGAGGACCCACTAGAGAAAGCACAGAAGCCTTTGTAGCCTTAACTCTGTACTTGAAATTAGCTGAGATATGTGGACTTTCCACCCCCACTCAAAAATATTTGAAGGTGAAAAGTAAATTGATTTTAAATTATTTGAAAGATTAAATTATACTTGATTAAGTATCTGTTTTATTGTCCAGGTAATATTCCTAGAAACGCAGAGGAACCCGTGCAGGACCAACTGACTGACGGTCACTGTGCAGCATCTTGTGTCACCTTTCCATGGGACTGTGGGAGCCTGCGCTGTCTGTGGGGCTGGATGGGACAGGATGCCACGTGGGACCATGCTGTAGTCTGAACAGCACAGCAGCAATGAAAGCCAAATGTGTACCTTTCTTTACACACTAGATTTTACAGGTATATTATATGATGCAACTGTATTACTGTACTCTACAGACTGTATAGTTTTGTGTTTAAAATTGTACCACAGATATTCGTGTCTTCAGCAAACCGTGTAAAAGAGTTCTCTCTGCGGGCGCAGTGCCCAACCCACTAGTCAAAAGTACCCCACGGCGGGGTACCAAATATCCCAGCCCAGTCCCTGCCGTCAGTCACTGCTTATTTACCTCTACTAGGCAGTGACCACAGACTAGTAACTAGAGACTTACTATTTAGCCTGGACTTCATGGCTGACTTATAAATTGCTAATACAACTTATTTAGTATATAATATATATTTTACCAATAGCATTATTTAATACTATATGCTATCTTCTCGTCAAATGCTGTTAAGAGCAAACTTACTGGCATGTAGTTTTTCCTCCTGGTGGCCTTTTTGTTGTTTAACAAAAATTTCATGTTCTCTTCTAATCCTGCTGTTTAATCTAGCTGAGTTTGTTGTACATTTTATGCTCTAACACATACTTCACGTCAACAAAGATAAGATAGGCTTAGAGCTGTAGGATTCCTACCACTTGGGAGCGGGGGGGAGTGTGGTGACTGTCAGCACTTCCATTCTAGGAGGGTTTTTTTTTAAACAGTGACAGTGGATGAAGCTGAAGAAGTCGAGTACTTAGCTGAAATTAGGCAAACTGCAGTGTCAGTGTCTGCACGTGATGTTACTAGGCAGGAAGCTACAGCTTGTGCTCCAGAGAAGGGGGTGACATTGAACTACTGCGTTGCCTTAAGCCTTGCAATGCGCTTTGAGCCAGGCAAATGTCACTCGGTTTAAACTGAAACAGAACTTGAGTCTAACAGTAACCAGCCAAACCATGCTCAACGCTCAGAAGGGAGAGAGAGTTTTCTACAAGTGTGAGCACTAAGCAAGCGCACAACACTCCATCTCATAGGACGTGACTAGACAGAATAGGTGACTACCATTTGGGTTACATTTTTAGAAAGGCTCCCTAACCATATGATCAGTTAGACTGTTGAAATAATAGTAGGACAGTATAACTTGAGATATTTAAAGCTAGATTGGCCTAAGTATGAGCAAACAAAGAGATGTGTGGTTAAGGGAGCACAAATGAGATTATTAGTATATTTTTTCACCTCTATTTTTTGGATTCTATTGTGTCTTCCAGGGGCGACTGAACATAGTAATGGAAATTACCAATTACAAAAAGTTTGACCATGCTGTCTTCCTTTCAGCTGCATCACTTTCTGTCACTCCTTGTTATCACAGGAATGTGAGTCTTGGGAGCAAGCTGTCAGCAGAGTAAGTAGCAGCCCTGGCAGGTTTGCAAATGAGGGAATTTCCCCTTCTGAGCCAGCAGGATCAAGTACTACGCTTCTCCTGCTGGATTGTTGCTGACTTTACAATGCAAGAAAGCCCATCAGGTCAAAACATGTGCTCGGTAGTTGCTGCCCTAAACAGGAAAACTTTTTGCTCCTGTAAAACACAGTTTTGCTTTGTTCCATATGATAGGTGTACTCCAGGAGATGCAAAAAAATATATATATCTGCAGGGTTCATTTACATAGCTATACAAGAATGGTTTTCTGGTTTTCAGTCACGGGACTGAAGCAACCTTGTTCAAATACAGCCAACAAGCTAAGTAGGAGCATGCTAATGCATGCACAGACTTCATTGTAATAGTTTCTTACTATCACCTTCTCTGTTTGCTCCTTTTGATGCACACACAGTGGAGAGAAAGAAATGAGCGTTTCAAATATAGAAAAGCACGTTAAAATTCCACAGATCTCTCAGCAGCCTGAGGTGGTATGCTGGGTTTCTCTGGCTTTTGTTTTGTTCTTTGGCTTTGCAATGTACAGGATCACTGTCATGAAATGACCATATGCACACATGGAAAGCTGTTTGAGTAATACAGTATTTAGCTTGCACAGAAGAGAAAAATAGACTAGGTTGTCAGCATGTGAAAGTCATTGGCATATTTTGCCTACAGAAACAACATCTATTGCTTAAAATTGAATATTATAATTATACATCTTTGATGCATCCCTGTGATTATCTGAAGTAAAATCCTTTTGAGTACAGCACAGTATATACAGAGCTTAAAAGGATCAGTGTTCCAATTTAAGACCTTCCCACTTCCCTTTTTAAATATTACCTTTCTTTTTTCAGCATTTTAGAAGTTTTCCATACTTTGCTCTGACCTGAAACTCAGAGTTTTGAGGCTGATGATTTAAAAAATAATTCTAATGGTAGAAGTGGAAGAAAGGAACTTAAGCAAGTGGATTCTCCTCAAAAGGCATTCATTAAAGCTCTTACTCCATTCTGCCATTTTGTCGGCTGTTAAAAGTTAATTTAAACCATTCAAGATATTTTTCATAAAGTGTTTAAGTTTTGTGGGCTATTTAATAAATAAATTTGCCTACACAGCAGTCTTCAGAACCCTAGGCATAATAGGATTTATGGTAGATGTACCTTGCAACTTCTCACGGACCATTGCGTAGACTGGCAGAAGATTGGCTCTACCAAGGGTCTGAAATCAAGCTGGCACAACATGCCTGTACAATATTATCAGGGAGCACTACAGGACACAACTCAGAAACTTTACAGGTTTAGCTATTTCAGAGAGATGAGATTCACAAATGTGACATTTAATCTAATTTGGATTAATAGCTGAATATCGGCAGAAACTGACTGATGGCAGCAACTTTGTGACGTTACAAGGCTGAGGACAACAGACAGCAAACAGAATTCTACTTCTTCCTCATCCTCCTAGACCAGAAACATCAGACAAAAATAGCTGGATTCTGGACTGTCTGAGCCTCTTGGGTGCCTTTCCTGGTCAATTCAAAATAAGGTCGGGGTAACAAAGGTGTGGACAACTGTAGCGATGTCTGCATCTGAGCAAGATCAGTTTTTTGACAGGCTGGAGATAATACGCGTGGCTCTTAGCTGTGCGATGTCTGGTAGAATTTCATGGGACTCCAATTTCAGTCCATTTTGATGACAGGAAGGCAGGCACTTTCAATAGAAAGAGTGCTCATGGATTTTATTGGGTCATCCAAATGCTTCCAGCTCCCAGCTGTCATCAGCTCCTCTTTAATCACGTAGTTCTCACTTTATCTCCCTGCCTGTGACAGACCTTGAGAGAAAAAAGATACAGATTTTCTGATGAAAAGGAGACTCAGGGCCTCATTTACGTTTCCAGATGCTTTTAGTTTTACTTACATGAACGAATCCCACTGAAGTTAAGTTAATATAGATGTTAAGTTAAGTTAATAGAGATTAAAGTTAAATAGATGTTTGCGTATTTACATCCTAAATTGATATTTAATTTTAATTTCAAATACATATTATAAGGCCTTATATACTATAAGCAGTGGATATTCCACAATTATACGACAGCAGTTCAAAAACAGTGAGTTTGCACAAGAATGAACGCCTGTGTGTTTAAGAAAGCCCAGCTTCTTGACGGTATTTGCTGAGACAGACCTGATCTCTGAAACTTTCAGCAAGGTTGTAAAAAGTAATTTGTCAGTCTTTTATAAGGAGCTATTTAATTGGATAATTTTATTGTTGAGGTGTATCATTGCCAAAACGTTGCTACCTATGTAACAGCTTCTTTGCCAAAGAGATCCTCACCAAGGCTTTTTTTTTTTCAATTAATTAAATTTGACTTTTTTGCTTGTGGCAATCATTTACAATTCTCATGTCATATTTGGAGAACTCATCAGCTCAGAAAAGGTTGAGTAAGGAATTGGCAAAATCTTGCTTGTACCTTGTTAATGAAAACACAGTTTAAAACATTGCTGTTTGTACCGACGGGAAAATATTGCTTTATTTGTTTCAAGTCACACTGTGCTTAATCTGTCCTAAATATTTTCAGTCTCCTAATAAGTCACTTCAAGTTGACGCAAAGCTCTGTTCCCAACCTGTTGAAGTAGCTTTTACGTTTTGTAGAAGGCCCCGTAAAATGGATCACGCTCTGTACTGTGTGCCTTGCAACACCTGAACAAAACAGAGTGAGTGGAAAACAAAAGCTCAGTTTTGACTCTTCCTCCACTGGCTCAGGTTAGTTCCAGCCAGATCCGTAGCGTTACTTTATATGCAGGGTTTTTTTTTGTGTGTGTGATCAGTGCCAATTCTGTTGGGCATATACAGGATGCATAGGGATTAAAAAAAAAAAAAATCTAGCTGCCAACAAGAAAAAGTGCTTTGTAACCACAGTTTGGAAGGGAAACAATTTTTTAAGATACAGATCAAACTGTGTTTATAGACTCAACTATTGGCAGCTTTTCACTGAGCTACTTCCTGTATGCCTATTGCATAGAGGAGTAATCTAAATGCTTAAACTAACATTTAAAAACCTACTGAACATGAATAAATGAATGAATAAAATACTGTGTGAAGCAGCATGGAAGAGAAAATGGTGTTGAATTTTCTTTCATGCCCATAGATAATTCTCATGGGAGAATACTGAGGATGCAGTACTGCAAACTGAATGTAAGTAGTTCCTTACTCTGGCTAGTACTTCCTAGTAATATTGTTTTCATTGCTAAAAGAGAATATCCAAGTAAAAAAAAAATCCAGAAATGACATCTAAAAGAGAGGAATTTGCTAAAAGCTAAGTACAGTCACTTTAAGTACAGTAAAAGGTGATTATTAGGAAAGTAATTCAGACAACCTAATGCACAGGTAGACACAAAGGAATCTGATTTCCCATAACAACATGCTGGAAATCTGTAAGCGTGACAGTCACAGTCAGGGTAGGTTTAGACTTCTTTGGTTTGCTCAGTTTGAAATGGTTGTGTTAACTTTTTCTTTCAGAAGTAGTACAGAGCTCACCTATGAGCTGTTTTGCATCTTTCTAGTGCTTTTTAATAGGGCAGATCCCTTCTTCTAGATTTCAGATGCTTGCCCTTTGCTTTAGACATGCATTTGCTGGTGGTGCAGCTGACCTACCAATAGCATCTCAGCAAGGTCAGCGCAGTCAGGCCATGGTGGCTATGTGGGATTTTACCAGAGAAAACACCAGCATTCTGCTTGATTGGAGTTTATTCTTTATCTCCATGCTGTATCTCAGCTAGGGAGGACAGCAGCTCCAGTATGAGGGAAAGTTTAAAGTCAGAGAGCAACTTAGGCCGGACTTCTGGCGGTCAGCTATCACGCCTGACTCGAGCAGCAGCTTAGGTGGGGTCGCTTAGCTGATGTCCGAATATCCCCGAGAGGGGGAATCCACAACCCCTCTGGGCAGCCTGCTGTCTGACTGAGAGATGAATAAAAAAGAGTATCACTCAAAAATATTTCTATTTTTCTTTGACTATAACCTTACAAATTAGGATCACAGTTATGAAAAGTGTAGTTATAGACTTAACTTTATATATCGTTACCTGAAAGTCAAAGTAGGGGATGAAGGCTTAACCATTCAAACAGATGAGGTATTTAGATGAGGCAGCGCTCGACTTTACCTTTATTTGGGTCCTGAGCATTTGTAATACAACAATATAATTTTGAATTAACCTGCTGGAGATAGAGGCATTACTTATACACAATAAGTGCATTGTCAGCAAAGTACTGACAGTTTTGTTTTTATGCGTTTCTTCCATGCTGCTTTGGAGCTGAAGTAAGTTGGGATCGAAATGCAGCGGTCGCAGCTCAGCCCGCAGGGGAGAAGCGCACAGCTGCTGTGACACGGTGGTCGCAGGCAGCCGGACCCCAGTGCCTGCAGGGACAGCGGCCGGGCATCCCGTTTGGGATTTTCAGCTCATTAGCTGTACAGCAATGAGCGTCGCAGTCCTCAGCTGCTGCGGTCTCATCTTTCACCTCCCCCAACTGAAAGCAGTCTGGAATGGTTTTGCATCCTGTTCCAGAGCTTGTACACAGATGATTTCCCAATGTGTATCCTTAAAGGAATGCAAATATTTTTAAAAGATAGCATGGCAAAATGCCAAATCAAGTTGCAGACATGTGACTCGATAGCTATTGTGGGGTGTGTTTTAGATGGAGAGAAAACACATCAAATACTCTGTAATTTTTTTTTACATTGTGTATGTACAATGTTACTTGCTTATTACTGCTGCAATTGTTTTCACATAAAAAGAATCAAAATTTTAATCTCATTTTGTTCTCTGGAAAGATTTAGTTTCAAATGAGCCAATGATTAAAATCTCGAAAAATTCTGGTGAGGAAATCTGTGACTGTGTGCAGTTGTTTTCTCTAAAACCTCAGGAGCGTTTCCTGTGGCCGAGTATTTGGAGATGCTTGGGGTTTTGTTATGTACCAAAGGAACTGCTTCGTTTTGCACGGAGCGCGCTCGGAGGGGAATGCTTGGAATGTCCCGCTACCCTCTTCTTCTGCAAGGCAGCTGTGTTACATCGGCTGCTGACTGGTAGGAGACAGTCAGCGCTCCTTTGCTCTCCTGAACTACATTACATTGATATCCTGCATCATTTTTTAAGAGCTACCATTTACAGAGAAAGTTGCAAAATATATTCCTGAAGTTGTTTATAATGCAGTGAAATAAAGGAGCTGTAGACCCATGCAGACCTTACCAAAAGCTGCCTCAGTATGACATACCTTTTCCCAAAGTGAGTTTTGAGGGGATGCGAGTTTGCTAATGGAACTAATGTGTGATGTAGCCAAGTGCCTCCTACACAAAAAAACCCCAAGGTTTCGCCCACTGAAGCGGCCTCAGCACACCACTTGATAGGCCCTGCTGCCACCTGTACCACCCCGAGCTGCTGCTTTGGTCGGCGTACTGAAGGCCGTCGCCAGCAAGGCCAGCTC